ATCTTGGGCTGCAGTTCTACTCCCCAGCCTCCCTGGTGGTTAATGTCAGTGAGTCATTTTTGAGTTGGGCGGATTTCCTGCCGGTCATTTGCATACTTGCATTCTGATGCTGAGAAAATCCTAGAAGCCAAGCTTCGAAAGTTGCACACAGCTTGGGCAGTGCCTGCTGTTTGGATGGTGTTCAGATGCAGGGCTTCCATCGTGGACCCCACTCTGCTCCTCGTTACTGAGTGTGTGTGGGGCGGGGCAGGAACAAGAGCTAAAGAATCAAACACCTGATCCTCATTCTGTTTCATTCTTTACAGGAGGGGCATCCCTGTCCCACAGCCCCTCCTCCTGCAGCCTGCATGAGACCAAGCACTGCAGCAAGACCTCAGAGCACCACGGAGACCCCTACTCACTCCTCCAATGCATGCGACATTAAATGACCATCTGCCGGGAATGGGGAGTTGGCTATTTCTAATAATATGTATGTGCAGTGAGCTCTAACAAGAGCTACAAGTTCAAGTCATTTAGCAAGTAACTGCTGAGCACTTGACAAACTTAGACATTGTTTTTCCTATTTCTGTAAGAATGCCATTGGTATCCAGGTGGAAATTGAGTTGAATCTACAAACGATTTAGGGTAGTATAGACATTTAAAAATATATTAACTCTCCCAGCCTGTGAGCATACGTGATCTTTCCTCTGTGCGGACACATACGACCTTCAATTTATTGGTGTTTTGTCATTTTCATTATAGAACTTGTTGCTTTTTCGCTTAACTTTATTTCTAGGCGTTTTGGGGTTTGTTTGTTTGCTGCTTCCCCTGAACTCCCAGGTTCTACTCATCTTGCTGCCTCAGCATCCTGAGTAGCTGGGACCATGGACTTGCACTTCCTCCCGCCTTATTCCAAGGCATCATCGTGTCTTCTTTCGCTTTAATTTCGCTGCTGTTTTGGATAGATAGACTGTCTCTCCTATCTTTTGAGTAAGTTCATTACTAGTGTATACAATATGGCTGGCTTTTACGCTGGATTATGAGGATTTTATAGCCTTCAGGTTTACTGAATTCCCTTGTCTGTGTCTTTTGGTGGTGTTTGCAGAGGGTTTGGTTTGTTTGTTTATCTATACATTACATCATTTCCAAGCAGATAATTTGGTTTTGTCTCTTCCTATTTATGTACCTTTGATTTCTTTTACTTGATAGCTAATTCAAAATAACCATTATAAAAGATAGCAGATGTTGACCGGGAAAGCTGCAGGGTAGAACACGGGGCATTACTGGCGGAATATAGATCAATCAGCACAGAGTATCCAAAGAATCCAGCAAGCACACTCCTGGTTTTATTCAAAGGAAATGACTAGAGACATGCTGTAAGCAGGGTGTGGCACTATGAAATCAACTAAGATGCAGGATCAACCTACAAGTCCATTAGACAGAAGGAAATATCCCGTGGACTGAAACTCTGCCATCGGCGGCAGGACGCACATGGTTGTGGCATTATGGTGAAATAAGCCACATTCCACATCCTTCCTAAGCAAGGATCTCTCACATGTGGAAACCAAAAGTGTTGTTCTCACAGCAGATGAAATCAGGAGAGGGAGAGGAAAAGAGGGATGAAGTGATGTTGGATAGTAGGTACCAAGACACAGCTGGATGGAGGGAGCGAGTCCCAGCCCTCTATAGCATAGCAGTAGGAGGAGGTTAGAGTTCACAAAGGCACAAGAACCCAAAGGTTCCTCATATGGGGATAGAGAGATGACTCAGAGGTTAAGAGAACTGGCTGCTCTTGCAGAGGACCTGGGTTTGATTCCCAGCACCCACATGGCAGCTCACAGCCATCTGTAACTCCAGTTCTAGGAGATCTGATGCCCTCTTTGGCCTCCACAAGAACTGCACACATGGTAAACAGACATGCACACAAAACACCTGTATAAAATAAAAGTAAATCATTTAATAAAAGGCTCCAAATATAGACAAGTGATATAAAATGGAAAGCTACATCCCAGCACATTGTATCCCACAAATACATGCAACTATTGTGAATTCATTTTAAGGAAAGATAGATATATACAACTACAATAATTATCTGGTCAGGGGGAGCGTGGAGAATGAGAATAGGCCCTGTATGGGGCAGCTAAGTAAGCGTAGCAAGGGCAAGGGCACAGAGGTGGGAACAGATGACAGCACTGTCTGGAGGGTGCTCTGAAAGAGGAGGTCGGCGCCCAGTGAGGCTGGACCACATCAGACCAAACTTCCAAACGGCGTTATCCTTGGGAGGAAAGCCTCAGTGGGTGATGTCTCCACCCTGATTCCTTGGATCTGGAAAAGTTAGGTGAGCAGCCTAAGAAGTATCTGTGCATACGGACACCATCTTTGCACCAATCTTTTTCTGGGTGGTGGCAGGCAGGTGACCCAAGGACTATAGGTCAGGGTGGAACTTACCAGATTGTGTAAGTAGCCAGGATTAAAATGAGACACACAGCTCACATGGCAGTGAAGTTGGGGCAGGGAGGATGAGTAGGTCTTTGAATGGCGCTATTACCACACTGAACTCTCCAGAGTCCTGCCAGAGAGTGGTGCCAATTTAGGCTTAGGAAGAAAGTGTTTTCCATAGGCTAGGAGGCCATCGGCATCATCATGTGTCTGTAAAAGGAAAGTATTAGGACTAAACTGTGGGGGAGATTTGGGAAATTTAGTGAGAAGTTATCTCTAGCTCGTTTACCTCCAAAATGACCCTCTTTCCCGCTGAGCACCCAAATTCTAGCAATACCCATCTCTCCTGGGAAAAGAAATTTATAAAAGCCAAATTGCCAGCCTCTCTCACAACACACTGCATGGAGCATAGGAGCTTACTCCTGATAACAACTACAGGGGGCATGCTCAGCCAAAGGACCCTCGCCTGCTGCTCTGATCGTGTGAAGGCAAATTTTCTTACCTGAACTTATCTGTAAGTATAACTGGCTTTAGGGCCTCACAGGAACATGGTTTAAATGCACCTTTCCATTTTAAAAAACTGTTTTGAATTAATGTTTGAAGTCAATTGACAAACATTTAGTTGGTTTGAGTCCCTAGGTTTATCTGTGTGGAGACTGTTCTGGAGAGCCAGACCCTGGAATATGCGCAGGTGTGAGCAGGGCAGGGAAGACCTCAGAGAGGCTGGAGAAGAACACACTGGATGACTGTCGAGGTGTCTCAGCTGGGAAAACATCAGCTCCGAAACCCGGCCAATCCACGTTCGGTTCCCAGGGGACACTCGAAAAAGTGTGGTATAGTAGTGCCATGTGTAACCTCAGGGTGCCTATGCCGGACAAGACACAGGAGAATCGTCCAGAAACTTGAAGTCCAGCTAGTCTGGAGTACACAACACAGCAAAAGCAAGAGACCCTGACTCAGAGACAAGGCAGAGGGGGAGAACTGAGCCCCCCAAATTAGTCTCCTGATCTCCATTCACACCACAGTAATAATATTTAATATATAAGTTGTAAAAAGTTGTTTTCAAGATGCATTTGGGGACCAAAGAAGGTGTAGCCAGGCAGGGCAGTGTGCTTGCCTGGGAAGGTGTAGCTTGTTGGAATAGCGCACTTGCCTAGCTGAGTCCAATTTCTCCACTGTTTTAATTTAAGAAAAGTGGTGTATGAGAGAAAGACGCCATGGAGCAGGGTTCAAGCAGAGGGGTTTGTTTTGTTTTGTTTTTCAACTAGGGGGAAAAAATCATAAAAGGTGGAAAGGGAGCAAGAGACTGGGGACAAGAGAGAGGAAAGAGGGGCAGAGAGAGAGAGAGAGAGAGAGAGGGAGGGGCGGAGAGGGAGAGAGAGAGAGGGAGAGAGAGAGGGATGGGGGAGGGCGAGAGAAAGAAGGCAAGAGGATAGTGAATGTGCACAGGTGTTCTTAGTGGCTGCAGCTGAGGGTGTATCCTGTCAGAACCCCAAGGACAAGCCAGCACACAGTACAGATGCCTGAATACTAACACCCACACCCACCCCCCAAAAAAACTGCATTTGGGACTTTCGATATAGAATGTACAGATTCCTAGTTGTGTAACTTTGGGCAAATTACTTGCTTCTCTGTACCTCAGTTTCCCCCTGTATAAAATACTGAGGATAAATATAGTATTTATATCAGTGAGCCACAGAGAGTCTGCTCTCCAGTCACAGTGATGACATAATTGCATTAGAGGTTGACGGACATAACCGCCCTAGGGAACCTGGTAGCTAAGATGTACACAGTGGCTAGATGGGTAGAAATGAGGATTGCAATTTCGTACCCATCTCACTTGATGGCTTGATTCACATAAAGGACCTAGGATAGGGGCTGGTAAGCTGAAAGTGCTCTGGGTACTGAATTTGTTTTGTATTTTTAACCTGATGTTACCCAGTGCCACACATAGACTGTAGAGTCTAAGCATCCTCATGGCCAGTGTTAGCAAGAACAGTTGGAACATTCCTGAGCTTACAGAGAACAGCCCTCACACTCTCAATTCTCAAAGGCTTATGTTCCCAGGCCTGAAAGACCATGAGTATCTAAGCCATCAAGCACAGTAAACTGAGTCTGCAGTGGCCAGAGGAAAACCCCAGTGAGTGAGAGGGATGCCCTGCTTCCTCTGATATCCCCAGCATGACCCCTTCATTACAACACCACGACTGACTGCTGTCTACCAGCGTTTCCACTAACACAAAGGGGAAAACACAGGCCTGGCTTTCATGGAAAGTCTTCTGAGTCTCACAACCAGAATTCCTGCCTCTAAAAGAGGGGGGCAGATTGCTAACTTTTCCTTTAGAGTTTCAGAACCCAACTATTTGAAAAGCATCTTTTCTGAGGAATGGTATTTCCTGGCACAAACAGTCTTTGTCAAGTGACTCAGACTGATTATTTTTAAATATCAATCGGCCTCAACTTACAGAGAAAAAGTGGGCACTGGGTATCAGTTTGATGTCAGGGTTTTTCCCGGTTTGAAGAGCTTTAAATACGGCTAGCCTGGAAGGTGCCAGTAGGCTGAGCTCCAGACTCCTGCCAAGATGTCTGTGGCCTCTATCCTTGCCTCTGCCCTGCTCTTTGGTTCTCTTAGTTCTGCGCTGGCCCAGAAATGCAACACCATGCTTGTGATCAAAGACACCAGTTTCCTTCTTAAGGGGCTTCAGGTAGAATTATGGGGCTGGGGAGAGCCGGGGACTGTGTGAGCCACCCTGGAGGAGGATGAGGGAGGGCACTCTACTCACTCTGGGGTCTCTTTGCCTACTGCAGGATGACCCACCCTCCAGATGCAGCTGCAGCACCAACGTGAGTGAATGACTTCTTAAAACCCCTAAACCTGTCTTAACGTTCACAGCTGGAGTGTTCATGCCGGGATTTCTCTCTTACAGGTGACCGGCTGCTTGTGTCTTCCCATCCCATCTGTGAGTATATAGCCGGAAAAGATTACTGGGGCACTGTTTAAGCTTTGAACAAAATTAACACGATTTACTTGGCATTTAACTTATTGCTTAAGTGTGACTGTTAATAGTCTAGGCCTCACCTTTAAGACATGTATCTATATACACATTATATAGATATCTATATGTTTAAGTTAGCTGAATATTTGAGTATTCAGAGCCTAAAAATTATTAACTGTCCTCTGAGATAAATGGTCATGTATAGAATGGGGGAAAATGGAATTTTTTTCTGATTCACCTGCTGATGACTCTGGGTTTATAAAACAAAACAGCAGCATCGGGAATGGACTGTCCAGACAGCACACACACCTCTCCTTTCTCCAGCTTCCTCCTCCTCCCTGCCCCCACCTCTTCCTCTTCCTCTTCCTCCATCTCCCTGCTGGTTTCTAATGGCTGTCAAATGGTTCCAACTATTCTCTGGGAGGACAGTAGCAAATAGGACCCCAAGAGAGCAACAGCCACCCTGGCAGTGAGGGGAGAGAAGGAGAGAGACTCTGGCCCTGTTCTAACTCCTGCTTAGGATGGGAGAGCAGTCACCCAGACCTGTGGCCGCTGAGGGGCTCACCCTGCAGGCCCAGCCCGGCAGACGCTGAGCTTGGACCCTGTGGAGATGTCCATCCTTCGGGGTCTGGTTAGGGAAGGGTTAGCCTAGTCTGCCCTTTCTCAGGGCAGGACTCTAGCTTGTCTGAAGCATGAGCCCTATGCAGTGGTGTGTCTCAGCCAGGTGAGAAAGGCTTTTCCTTTCTGTACTTTCAAACTCTCAGCCACTGGACCTGGGCAGGGCCAGCAGGCACAAAGCAGGTACAGCCCTCTGCCAGGGCACCAGCCCACATTTCCTGGACAGGATCCCCTCTGTGGTTGTCACCGGGGAAATGACTCACCTTAAATAACTTAAGATCATTTCCTAGAGTGTCAAGGAGCAGATGCTAACATAGCATGAGTTTCGGTGACACTGGTTACTTGAGTTGCTCTTTACAGCTCTCTTGGTGATTTTTTTTTTCTCATGAACACTTTTCATAAGTCCTTATTATTTACCAGGGCGATTGTACCTCACCATGCTTCCAGGAGGGACTGTCACAGCTGACCAATGCCACACAGAGAACACAATTCTCAACCATCTTCCATCGGGTGAGGAGGATGGTTGAAGGCCTAAAGAACAGCAGGTGTCCGGTGAGTTTTGTGACAACTGATCTTAGCGTGAATGCTGACAGCGAAGGAGTAGGGCCTTTGGCTCAGAGCTTGGCTGAGAAACTTGGAGCAAACACCATCTGGTCATCTCCTAGCAGACCAGAAAGCATGGTAGTTGGAGTCAGCAGCCCCAGGCTGGAAGGGGTCGGCAAGGAATTTAACCAGGGACTAGATCCCTGAAGTGGGGTATGCTCTGGAGCCCATGGTTCCCTGGTTAAATGGAAACCACAGCCACCCATGCAGCCAATGTCTTTTTTTTTCTGCTGTGATTGTATGTAATAAGAGACAGTGTTGGGACTTAAAGTCTGGTCTGTGTGAACCCAGAGTCTCACTCAGGACTACTGTGCCACAAAGTGACCCTGAAGGTCGGGGGAAAAGGTAACAAGTATAGGATGCTTAGTCCCCAAAGAATCCCAAGAAAGGAGTTTCCCTAATGACACTTAGCAGGGAGAAAGAGAGAGAGAGAGAGAGAGAGAGAGAGAGATGCATGCAGCAGACTTCTGGAATCCTGACCCCAGATTAACCCTACACAGTCTTACCAAACACTAGCTAGTCCAGGATCACCCCACATCCCTCCCTTCTCTCCCCTGCCCATCAATTTGTTCGCAAGGCGTGGGGGTGGGGGGTGACGGTCCCGGGCTGCTAGGTGCACAGTGCTGCGGTGGCTCACTCCATCTGCCCTCCTCCCTCTCCACAGTTCTTCTCCTGTGAGAAGCCATGCAACCAGACCACAGCAGGCAATACGCTGTCCTTTCTGAAGAGTCTCCAGGCAACGTTCCAGAAGGCAGGGGTGCAAGTGTCAAGACGCCGAGCATGAAGATGAATATTATTTATTCTATTTATTAAGTTTATAAAGCCCTTCCTCTTTAATGGTTACAACGAAGAAATAAACTCAGCTATTCTAGATCAAAGCCAGTTGTGCTCTGTTGTCTGCATTTGCTTCTGGTATAAAGATCCACGGGGAAGAGAAATACAAGCTATCTCCAGGTGCTTCTTCATTGCTTATTCAATACTGCCGCTCGGAACAAAGTTTCGAACTTTGTCATAGGTGCAATGGGTCAAAGACCTGGTAATAATTACATTCATAAGCCTAAGCCCAGAACTAGATGTTTGAGTTTTGACTGCTCTGTAGGTAAGCAGCTATGTGAGGACAGTCTGAAAGGTGAGCGAGGCTAAGAGCAGCCTGGGGGAGGCGCAGGGCATTACCAAATCACCAAGGGGCTTTGTTCCTGTGAAACAAACTGTGTACCCATCGTGGGAAGGGCCATCGCCTGGTGAGTCCAAAGGCTGAGAGACTCCTTGGGGATGTGGGGGCTGGAAAGATGTATCAGTGGTTAGGAGGACTCGGGCTCATTCAGAGGAAGAGTTCAGTTCCCAGCCCAGGTCAGGAGACTCACAACCATCTGTAACTCTAGCTCCAGGAGATCAGATGCCTCTGCCCTCCAAGAGCACCTCTATTCATGTGCACACGCCCACACGCATGCAACACACACACACACACCTACATAAAACTTCTAAAAATAAAAATACGCATGGGCATGGTTTATATAAGAATGCAAAGGGCTGGCAATGGGTCTGGAGATGAGTCACAGAGTAGCCCCTCAGGTTAGAGCTTCAAGCAAGGAAGTGTGGATCAACATGGTCTGTTTACCGGAAGCCGTTCAGGGAGCCCCCGCCTCATGCCAGCCAACAATGCCTAATGGACAATTCTCCAGAAATTCTCAATACATGGCTGGCAGAGTATGGGTATAGCCATTCCCTTCACCCTAACACTCTCCATACCCCACCCCAGTGCCCACCCTGGCCTCTGTCCCACAATGTTCACGGCCTTTGAAGTGCCTGCCTCTCCGGGTCACATGCCAGCTCTCCAGGGACCCATTTTGATCATTCCTGCACTAGCACTGAGCTGACATGGAGCAGGTGCCCTGTGAATGTGGTCTGAATGGATGATAGGTTTCCTGATGACAGGAGTCAGGACCATGCATTCCTGGTGGACAGATTGGACCCAGAATATTTGCATGGTGTTTTTGCAACATCCCTAGGCAGGGCAAGGGTCAGCTTACACTTCCTGCCTGCCTAGGATGGAAATGACTTCAGGCCTTCTATTTGGCCCCTTCAGCCTTGACTGATGCACTGGCAGACCCAGGGTCAAGGACAGGGTGAGAGATTTTGGCAGAGAGTATGTCCCTCTCCCCCTCCACCTGCTGACACAGAGGTATATGGGAAACCCTGGGCTTGGTCTTCATGCATGAAGCTTCCAGAACTAGGTTCCTGCCTCTACATGGTTGCATTGGATAGGGAACATGTCTGAGTATGTGTGTCATGCCTGATTGTCTAGCCTGTGGGTCCCTGAAAACAAGGTACCTATCCTCACCCCTTCCAAACTTACCATTCAAAGTGTAATACACAGGAAATCCCAAGGAAGTGTGGTCAGCCACACACTTACAACAATCATTAGTGTTGAGTACTTAACATTAAGCATTGTTTCTGATTGGACTGGGAGGGAGAGCCTTATTTAATCACCCAGGATTGGTAGGATTTCTTTTTTATTTCTAGTATTGTTTTTGTAAGCTGAATATCAAAGCTTTCTAGGTTGGAGACATTCCCAAGATCCCTCAGCTGGTGAAAATTAGAGCAGAAAGCCACTTCCAGCTGATTCTGCCAACCCACCGCTCTGCCTGCCCTGTTCTGTTCTGTCTATGTCAGATTTCCATGCTGTGTCCTCTGACCACAGCCTGACAGGTCTGTCCACCACACCCCTAGTGCACACCCACTTATGCAGAAAGCCAGGGTCGGGCCGGGCTCAGATTTCAAGCTTTTTAGCCCTTTCAAAAGTGAACACACAATCCGTGCCCCTGTGTTACATAACATCCACAGCAGGGCCTGGAGCAAAATGCTGTGATTAAATGCATCAATATTCTGCAGTGGAAACCAAAAACATTCGCACAGAGTGGTCAAGGTTTACAGCCAAATGAGTCACAACAACCCTGAGTTGGCTGAGCTGTTTGGGTTTCAGGATGGTGATAAGGGATTGGGGGCCAGTGTGAACAAAAGATTATTATTATTTTTTTTTTTTTTTTGCTCCAGCTGGGGGCTCACTCACACTCTACCTGGCTCTGGGTCATCTCCAGGCAGAACTGAGGCTTCTGCAACCCCCTGGCTGGCTGGCTACATGGCAGCCCTGGTGGCTTCCCCTGCATCTGGGTTTTCTGAGTCACACTACTCTGTGGTTTGTAGTCTGCACTCACCTCAGCTGGATGGCCGGTGGTTGGGATGCTCTCAGAAAACAAGTTGGTTACAACAAAAGCTACTGCTAGAGGAGAGGAACCGAGCAATTTAAACTGAAGCTGGTTGCCACATCAAAACCACCTGCCAGCGTGGTGCTTTCCCTCGGCTTGTCTGTAAAGCTGTGTAAGATAAGACTCACTCCACGGAGGGCTCCCCGGGAGCGAGAGGGCTGAACCGGGAGAGCTGAACTCTGCCGAGAAGCACCTTGGAGAAAGGAGAAGAAACAGAGTGGTTTGCTGTGTGGTCTGTAGGATAGCGAGCCGGATCCTCATGCTAACCCCGTGAGGTATTCACCAAAAGCTGTGTGTGATTACTGTACAATGAGAGTGGTCCAGAAGCGCATTGCTCAAGTGGATGCAACCGCTGACTTTCGCAGGTAGCTAAGTCCAGATAGATTTGTTCCAGGAACCCAGAAGATAAAACAGAGGCTGCCTAGAGAATCCTTCTCCCTGCACCCTAACCCCAGAACCCCAAGTCTCCTCCGGGGAAGATGGGGACCATGTGGAGCTGCACATTTCACTTGGAATTCCTACATTCTCCCAAAAGTGACAAAACCATGTTTCCCCAGCTCCTGGATAGAATGGAGGCTGGGAGTCGGGTGACAGGTTGCACCTGCACCCTGTACACCTGAGGACGTGGTTTGACAGCTTGACAGCGATAACGAGCATGCAGGTGCCAGCTCGGCACGACAGTGAGATGCTGTGGAGCTTCGACGTACCGAGGCAGGAGAGTAGATTGATGGTTCTTAGACCTTGGGGATCCAAACCCAGTTTGGCCCCACTCTGTGCTCAGGGAAAATGAGTCTAGTGGGCCTTCTCTGTGCTCAACCAGAGGCCAGAAGCCATACTTCTCTGCATGTCTGATTCCCCGGATTCCACTGCTGGATCACATGCTTCTGGAATCTTGACATCAGCTTAGCAGCGAGGAGTGGGAGCTAGAGCAGGAACTAATACCCCGACATGTGCCCTGAGCATGCAAGGATTTGCTCAGTATTTGCATCTATCCCGCTCCAAGCATGTTTACAAGATGCTCACTTAAAGGCACGGAGGAGCAGCTGTGGCCCTGAGGGGTTTACACAGACCAGACTCAGGGAGCACAGGTACAGCCACTCCTTTGTCAACCTCCAGACAAAAGCTACATGGCCCAGATTCGTAGAGGAAGGCAGACTGAAACAAAACACAAAACACAATAAGTACAGTCCCATCCCCACCCCCACCCCCACTGTCTAACCTTCAGAGTTCCCAAACCTGCCTTTGTCCTTAGAATTTACTGAAGATTCGGACAGTAGGTAAAATAAGACTGTGGGCATTTGCAGATGAGGAGGTGAGGCCCAAACAGGCAGAATTCATTGAGATTATTCAGAAAGCCACTGAGACTGAAATCCAAGGGAAGGGCAGGACCCGGAGGCATGGGAAGTGTCAAGGACCCCACTGGGCTCCACCACACCTAGGTCTCCATTTAGCAGAGATGCCTCTAGGGGTTTAGTTGACCTCTGCTGCCATCAAGTGGCAATTGTATGCTACATCAGCCAAAGAGGCTTTTGAGGGACAGTGTTTCTTGTTGGGCAGAACATCTGTCCTCAAAGTGACCCACAAGACCAAAATTATCTTTGCAGGACTCTAAGACACCTTCCTTCCCACCCCCGTTTTCTCACAGGCGCATCGGGTTTTCCAAAGGCCACATAGCAAGTGAGCCACAGCTCAGCAGAAGGGTCCAGCTGCCCCCTGGCCATTCACTACAGAGCAGTAAACAGCCTAATCAGGCACACACGGCGGCGGAAGACCCTGCCTGCCTGGCCTCTGAACACACTGCCTCTCCCATTCCCACTGCCAAGGCAGGGACTGGGCATGCCTGTTGCAACTTAAAAATCGGCAGGAGGCAGAAAGATGCACGGGACAGCTCATGTGGAGGTATTTTGTTTTTAATTAGGGGAAAGAGAATGGGAAAAGGAGGGATGGGGGGAGGGGAGAAGACTGGCCTCTGGGGACAGGAGCAGGGGAAGAGAAGTAAGAGACAGAGGAAAGAGAAAGGTAGGGGGACAGAGAGACAGGCAAAGAAGGAGAGGGAGAGAGGGAGGAAGAGGGAGAGGGGGAGATAGACAGAGAGAGAGGAGGTGGGCAGGGCCCTTTAAAAGGGAATGTAGTGAATGTGCACAGGTGGTGCTCTTAGTGGCTGTAGCTGAGGGTGTATCCTATCAGAACCCCAAGGACAGGCTAGTACACAGCACAGATGCCTGAATACTAACAGCCCTAGGATGTGATAGAGGAGGTACCCTAGGTCTACCCCAGCATCATCTAACATGCCAGGAGCATCTCCTCCCCAGCATCCTCAGTGCCTGTCCGTGATGCTGAGGAGGGGAAGAAACCAGCCTCTTTCTGCTGAAGTGTCTGATAAACTAGCAGAAAGGAACGCCGAGGCTCCTTCAGCCTCAAGCCTTGAGACCGTGTCTACGCAAGGCAGGTGCACAACAAACGTGTGATGACTAAGCAGCAGAGGCCCCTTAGCCATGGGCTCAGAGCTGCCCGGGGGATTTTGCAGCCCCTGGAGCTGTGGAGGATGAAGATGGAGGAGAGCTCTGAGCTATACTTGGAAGAATGGCCAGTCAACCTCTAGGGGGCAGCAGTGAGACTCACTGCTCAGGTCAGAGCTTTTGAGAATTTGGTTCGGATCACAAATTGGTGGGAGGGGATGGGGCATAAGAGAAACCAGGCAAGACTCTTGAAGGTTTGTTCTTTACATGACTGTGAGGACAGGTCCCCTCTCTGGGATTTAAGATCACCTTGCATGGCATTTCTGCTTGGCTGATGGTGGCTGCCCGGGTGACAGTGTTGGGCAATTCTGAAGTCACACTGAGCATCGAGCCGAGATGTGGTGGGGTGGGTGTGGCTGCTGTGGGTGGGTGTGGAATTGGAAGCGACATCATGAACACATGCCAGATAACAGCGGTGCAATCTCCTACGTGGTTCCAATAGGAGATAAAAACAGAAGCATACAATCACACTGGACGGCAGAGTGTAGACGACATATGCATTTTATTACGGTTTTTTAAATTAAGGTTTTCATATAAGAGTCAGGTCCAGAGAGCACCCGCTTCCTGCAAGTGTGGGCTGCCATTGGCCACTCGTGACACCAACACACACTGCTGTTTAGGCTTGAGAACCTTTGGGTTTTTCTCTCCTACGCGATCCTGTCCAGTCACTATGCCGTACCTGCACACCTCAAGGACCCAGGAGAAAATGGCACTGCCCCCTTAGTTCCGCTACCAGACTGCATGGAGCCGGCTTCTCTCCAGGCTGGCAACATTTCCACAGACCTAAACTGAGCAGAGGGGGAAGGGGTGTGGCCAAGGCCTCTCAGAAGCCTTGTGACCCAGAAATAACCCAAAGGGCATTGGGCATTTTTATTTGGAAACGCGGAGCCAACCGAGCTCCGCTAAGTTTTCAGTATCCGGGGATACAAGGGACAGTGTCCCCTGTTTTCCATAGATTCTGATCCAGAGCTGGAAGAGATGGTGGCTGCTTGGTCCATGGTCTGCTGCTTGCTTCCAGCACTCTGGACCGGGGAAGAGAAATCGAGAGGCTGCAGTCATGAAGGAAGTGACTGGGCTCTGCGTGACGGCTGTGGCACAGAACCAGGGTGGCTAGGGCTGCCTTCGTTCCAATAGCTCACTGTAGCTGGTTCTGCATGTATTCTCAGCGCCAGCCTGCAGTGGGACGAGGCCTGGTCTGCCTTGGGAGGAGAAGGAGGTAAAGAATCCTCTTTTGAGTTGTGACCAGCTGGATCCAGGCTCAGACAACCCACATGGAGATGGTTTATGTCCCACAGAGATGTGATCGATCACCAGTACACTGCAGTCAGGACAGCTGTCTGGGTTCTTTGTAAATGTCCAAACAAGGCGTCACAGGAAGGCTATAACCCCTTTCTTTGGGTATGAAGCTCCTTGGAAATGGAAAGTAAGCTTCCCTGGTCTGGAGCATGCACATCAGGGCAGGACACAGAATGGCACTATTCTAGGAGGGTTCTGGTACCAGGACCCTGGAAGGGCAGGGAAGGATGACTCAAACAAGCCTAAGAACTGACTGCCTACCAGTGACTAGGACCCTCTTTGTCAAGTTATCCCCATGACAAAATAATGACTCTCATCCAACTTCATGACTCTGTTAGGAGTACCCTGGAAGGAAACAGATCAGGAGATGGATGGGAAGGAAGGTACTGTCTCCCTGAGACTGGGGAGCTGTGTCCTCCATCTCACTCCTGTTTCCATTGGCCCTCGTGCCTGGGCCTCTGGAGATGGTCACCATCCCACCGCTTCTTAGTGTCTGCAGTGTTCTAGAAGCGTCTGAGATACGCTGTCCCCTGCATTCTGGGTCTCGATGAAGAGGGGGGCGTTGCTTTGCACGCCTTCAAAGAGTTTGTGCTTCTGCTGCGTGGACCGCCCCCAACCTCTGTAAGTTAAAGCCCAGGCTTGCTGGACGATTGAGGACCTGGTGTTCATGGCTCCTGGTTAGAACAGGATGTTAAACACAGGTGAGACAAACTGCTAGGATCACCCTTTCCCGTTCAAGGGGACCTGCTCTTCCCAGTCCCCAACCCCACGTCACCCTTGGGGGCTTTTCTAAGGAGATGGGTTACCAAGCCCTTTGCAAGGGAAAGGACATTCAGAACGAAAAGCTTCCAGCTGGCTTGGCCATCACTGCCCTCAAATGCCAAATCCAGGACAGTCCTGACTTGGCTCTCTAGAAACTTCCTCCGGCCCCCCTAAAGAGACAGTCCTCAGGGTGGCAAAGAGTGGCATGGTGTGACAACTAGGGCAAGTGCCCAGCCACTCAGATCTGAGGTCTCGGTACTGAAGCCATCTTGTAGTTAGGTTTAGCCGTGGGGGATGTGTCTGGCCATTAGGCAGGAAGGCAGCTGCTCCGTGCAGAGTTGGCTCTTGGTTTGAGGTCTTATGGTGACTGCTGGGATTCTTATTTTGTTCTTTCTGTGGTTTCTACATTTTCCTACAATATAAAAATACAGTGATTTTGCTACCGGATTTAAAATTTTTATTTCCCTGTTAACAGGGATGGGTCCATGGGTGGAGCTGACGTCTGAGCACAGCTTTTTAGGAATGACATGACGTCTGTGCCCTGCCCTGCCTTGTCCTGGGCGTCACCATGCTTCACCAAGAGCTCTTATCATGCAAGTGTGTTGCGCCTCTTTTCCTTTTGTACTAAGCAAGCCAGAGGAGCCATGAATGCCAGGGTTCTAGTAAAAGGCCACAGTGGTTTCTTTAAGGCCAGCTGATTCAGGCTTCTCTGTGGTCAGCCTGCCTGATAGCCACCTCCATCTAGGACCTCCTACGCTGTGTGTGCATTCCAGAAGCCCCAGACACAGAGGATCGGAGGGCAGTAGTTGGGCTCCTAGGCTTTCCTGGAGGTGGCCATCCTCCTTGGGAGGACAGACAGTCATACAGGCAGAGGAAATGGCTTCTGGGTTGATGAGAAAGTTCAATGATTGACCCTTTGCTGCTGTCTGAGCTTCCAAGTGACAAGTCTGAGGCCACAGAGATGCAGCAACAGGAAGCCAGCCACTCTCTATCCAGGGACAGGGCCGAGTGACCATTGGAGGGAGGACAGCTGCTGTGCAGAGGACCTCCACTGGGAAGGATGGGGACAGCGGGCAGATGGGGGGGGGGGGTCTGTAGCCTGCAGGCCACATCTCAGCTAAGAGAGCAAGTTGTCTGCCAGGAGGAAGCCAACAACTAGGGCTGGAAGACAAAGCTATGTTGACATCAAGACCAGGGGGGAGCTGGCTCCAGGCACAGCAGGAGAGAGAGGGTAGGGTGTTTGGGGGGGAGGGTTGGAGGAGGAGGAGCATCAAGGACTGACTCCCAGGAAGTGTGGGGCAGAGGACTGCTGAGCACATTGAGCAGGAAGTCAGATGCACGGAGCTGCACTGATCCTGAGCCAGTGAGAAAGGAAGGGAGGACTCTGAGTGGGAGGCCAGGAATGGCCTGCACTCTGGAGCTTTGCGAGGGAGCATGTTAGTAGGAAGTTGGTGAGCTGCCCTGTGTAGGCACCGGGTGGCCACTGGGGGCACTGTTCTCAGGTCACGGATCAATACAGTTTAAGAAAGAAGCTAAAAGCACTTCTCTCCAAGGACTGTGGAAGCTGTGGATGGGAAAGAGAGCAGGTGAACTGTCTGTAAAATGCTGAGTTGTGCCCAGCTTGGTCCCTCAAGGCCCAGCATGCCGCTGTCAACCATGGGTATCTCAGAACTGCAATGTGATGGGGAGAAGGCAGGCCCTGGGCTCACCACAGGGGACAGAGGGGCATTTCAGGAGGAAGAATGGAGTCCCAGCTTCACCCTTGGCTGGGAGAACCCACACTCACCCGACACTCATGGACTTGTCACAGTGTGGTCGCCGCGGAGTGCCTTCAGGGAGAGCTCATAACCGAGGAACATGGCTGCGCTCGTGGGGAAGCCACGCACAGCATTCACAGTGAGGCCCCTGAAAAACACCTTTGCACAGGGAGGTAGTTATTCCAGGGCTAACCCTCTGCCCTGCCAACTGCTTCTGGGGGTGCTTTGGCAAGCTGAGAGCCAAACAGTTCTATGCTGGTGTCATTGTATGAACCCGTGATTGTTCTGTCTCTTGCCCCTCCCCCCCCCACACCCCAGGGTTCTGGACTCTCTATATAAAGCACTCGGCCCCACTCAGGAACAGTGACAGATGCCCCCTACAACATCCCCCAAAGTGGGAGACTACAGAGGCAGGACAATGCTTAAAATCACAGGCATGGGTAGGGTCACCGCATGGGTGGCTGACAAGATCTCTAACTAGAGTGGCGATGCTGGGCTGCTAAAGGATCTTCCAGGGAGCAACCAGCCGATGCTTTCTTCAAGTTGTCCTAACCCACGGAACCAGCGGACCTCCACCCAGTGACCACTGACTGCCATCTTCGCCTGTGGAGGCTGGGGTGGCATGGTCTGCATGGAGAAGCTGCTAGCAGCCTCCGCCTCTGTTGATGCCTGTACTTTGTCTTCTGTTCCTGGGCAATGCAATGCTTGGTGCCAGTGGGCAGCCTGGAACCCCTTAGATGAGGTACGCACCTTCTAGAGCCAAGGCAGTATTACCAGGCGACAGAAAGGGGTGTGGGGACAAGGTAGCGAGCTGCCCCTGAAGGTCTTCTCTGGAAACTGCACACAATCAAAAGCATGCTCCCCCAAGCACGAGCTGTCAGGCATACGAACTGTCTCTCACACCGAATCATTTCAAAATTTTCAGAAAGACAGCCAGCCTGCACGTGCGTCCAGTTTCAGGGGACCCCGTCCTTGGGTTTGGGAACTCTCTGCTCTCACACAGCACCGACCTTTTCATCAACCAGTACACGATTTAAAGATTAACCCTTGTCACGGGCCAGAGAAGTAGTTCATCAGCTGAGCACTGTTGTATTTAATGAAGCTCGATTCTTGGCAAATAAAGCTCATCTCTGAGTAAGTACTTCAGATGAGACACTGCCAAGGCTGAGAGCTACAGCCCAGTCTTGGCTGGTCTGAGGGTTTTGTTCCTATGGAGCATAGTGATGGGTGTGGGGTGTTAAAATCAGCAACTTATTTCGCCTCTACAGATTTTTCTCTAATTATGACACAATTAGACAAACACTCTCAAATAAAATGAATGAATGAATCTCTTTGGGTCCTGTAACTGCTGGCGGAATCACAAGGTATTTGTCTTCTGAAAAAAAAAAAAAAAAAAAAAAAAAAACAAAGCCGTGCATGGTGGCACACATCTTTAATCCCAGCACCGTAATACCAGAGGCAGCTGGATCTCTGTGAGTTCCTGGCCAGCCTGGTCTACAGAGCCACAGGGCAGGAAGCCCCAGCTTGTTCTGCTATAGCCTCAGGGTGAGGGAGGTATGGTGAGCAAGATAGCTAAGTGCTGACAGACAGAAGGACACAGGTAACCGGAGGCTTGGTTCAAGCAGGCAAGGGCACATGCCTTTAGTGGCAGGAAACAGATCTTAAGTACTAACCATGGAGTTTAGCAGCCCCAAAGCTCTTGTCAGTGAAGAGCTCCATTTCCAGAGGCACCTGCCTGCTTTGGAAGCTCCTTCTGGCCCACATCTGCATCCTTCCAGCAGATGGTTGGTACCCAGGAGGAATTGGGACTACAAAGACAGGTCCTCCGCCCGCCCACTAGGTGTCAGTGTTGTGTTTGCTTCCTATGCTGCCAGCACACACAGATGAGATCCCCTAGCTAGACTACAGCCACTCTTAGACAACCTGCCCAGTCCACAGTCTGCAAAGTTAAATACGGTCAGCAGAGACTGCTGGTGTACAAATAAACAAACTAACTAAAGAAAGAATAGCAAATGAAGACCGCGCTGGTGGACAAGGGACACTTGTCCAACACAGACTAAGCAACAATATAAGCCACAGGTAAGGCAAGAGGTGACAGGTTTGACAGGCAGTGGTGACACACCGCTTTAATCCCAGCATTTGGGGGATAGACACAGGTGGATCTCTGTGATTTTGAAGCCAGTCTGCTCTGCTAAGAGAGTTCCAGGGCAGCCAAGGCCGTAACACAGAGAAACCCTGTCTCGAAAAACAACAACAAAACCCAAAAAGGTCACAAGTTCAACTGGCCCTCAGTTCCATGCACAAGGCTGTGATTTCCGGTGTGTGAAGACCACTGTGGCAGCACTTCAGAAGACACACACAGAGCGGTTGCACATAGAGGAGCGTGGGAGGTGTCTCCAGGATGAGCGCATCGGGAAGAATAAACAACACGAAAGGAATGGAAGAAGGATGGGGAGCTAGGAAAGAAGGCATCGTGTCCAACACAGCAAACCAGCACAGCGCCATTGCTAAAAGGAGGGACAGACAAGAACAGACAGTAGCCCAAGCAATCAGAAAAATAACAATAAAAGCAACAGGAGTTACTAAACCTCTCTCAGTGTTATCCTTAAATGTAAGTGCCATCAACTCGTGAATAGAAAGATTCAGATTGGCTGACTAGGTTAAAAGATTAGCCCAGCTGTTTGTCACCTGCAAGTACATGTCACCCGAGTAACATGCCCCCCTGGTACACACACCCAGGGTTTAAGGGTGGAAGACAACCTACCAAGACAATGGAAGACTCAAACAAGTGGGCATGGCTATTCTGATACCTGATGAAGTAGACATCAAACCAAAACCAGAAGAGATAAGGTGGTCACTACATATGAAGAAAGCTCTCCAAGAAGATGGTAACTGTAAACATATACACACCAAGTGGGTGGCACTCAATCTCTAAAAGAAACATTAGGTCATTAAAGATCACATAGACCCTGATGGATAACTGGGTGATTTAAAGTATCCCATCTAAAGATGGACCATCAACCTAAAAGTAAACAAACAAAAAACCCCTCAACCTTAAATTACGTGAGAGATTAAATGGACTTAACAGATAGCAATGGAATAGTCCACCCAACAGATACAGACTATATATTCTTCTAAACAGCCCAAGGAACATGCTCTAAAATGGGCCACATTTCAGGACACAAATCAAACTTTGGCCAATATAAAAGCATAAAAAAATTATTGTTTCTTGTCAAGTCTTACTGGAATAAGACTGAAAATGTGTGGAGATCAAACAATACATTCATCAATAATTCCTAAATGTCCATTGAAGAAATCAGGGAGAAAATTGAAGTTCCTAGACTCAGATGAGAATGAGGACACCCATATCTATGAATGTTTACATCAGCCCAGAATGGGCATCGGCAAACAACTCAATGGTGCATTTCAAAGTCTTAGAAAAACAAGAATCAGCCAAATCCCAAGCAGTGGATGGTTAAAAATGAATCATAAAGATCAGAGCAGAAATTAGAGAAATGGAATTTAAAAAAAAAAGAGTACTTAGAGTCAATCGAAAGAGTTGGTTCTCTGGGAAAAAAAAAAACAGAAAAACAAGCAAGACTGACAAACCCCTGGCCAAACAAGAGAGAGAGAGAGAGAGAGAGAGAGAGAGAGAGAGAGAGAGAGGGTAGCACCAAAATTTAGAGATGAAAAGGCTGAGATGACCATAGACTCCCGTGACATCCAAGCATTCACTGGGGAATACTTAGAATAGCCATGCTCCAAACAACTGGAAAGTCTGGGAGAAATGGATAAGGCCCTAGACACAGATGGTCTACTAAATTAGTGCAAGAGGATAGAAACAATTTAAAAGATACAGAAAAAAAATCACTGTGATAAATTCTGTAACAAAGTCTCCGTCAAAAAGCCCAGACCTGGCTGAGTTAAATTAAGTATTTAAAGAAGACCTGGAACCAATTTTCCAGAAACTTCCATAAAATAGAAAAGGCAGAAGCACCACTACCACCTCATTCCACAAAACCAGCATGAGCCCGATGATACCAGCAGTGAAAAAGACAACTCAAGGGAACTCAAAGTTTCCCATAAATACAGACACCAACATTCTCAATGAAACCTCACAAAGCCCGATTAAAGAACACAGCGGGAAGCCCATACAGCATGACCAGGTTGGCTTCATTCCATGGATACCTGACTACACATACTCAAATTAGTACAGAGACAGGAGTCACATGACTGTCACATGACCATCTCTATAGACCAGGAAAGGCCTTTGACGACACCTAATACCTTCATGATAACAACCTGGAAGAAACTAAGATTAGAAGGGACACACGTGGGCACAGGAGGGCTACACTTTGACAAACCTACGGCCGAAGCCGTACTGCATGAGGCAAACTGGGAACTTTTCTCCTGAGACGGGGATGTCCTCTCCCTCCTGTTCAATACAGGGCTTGAAGTCTGAGTTGGGGAAACTTGACAAGAGAGGAAATAAAAGGAAGTCAAGTAGAAAAGAAGGAATCCAAGCCATCCCTATTTTCAGATCGCACAATCTTGTTCTTAAAAGCCTAAGGGCTTCAAACCCTCAGACCTGATCCACAGTTTCAGTAAAGGAGCAGCGTACAGAATCATCATACAAAACCTAGTTCCTTTCACACTGCTTCATCAAACAGCAAGTACCCAAGAATAAACTTAAGGGCAGGCTGGCAAGGCAGGCGGTGATGGTGCATGCCTTTAGTCCCAGCAGTCGGGAGGCAGAGGCAGGCGGATCTCTGTGAGTTCAAGGCCAGCCTGCTCTACAAAGCTACACAGGGAACCCCTGTCTCAAAAAATCAAAAAAAAAAAAAAAAAAAAAAAAAAAAGACAGACTGGCAACCTCCAACATCTGCTCTCCAGTCCCTGACCTCGCCCTCAGGGCAACATGCGTGCACCCTCTGCCCCCGGGGGTGGAGGTGGGGGTGGGGGCGGGGGTGGGGGCTGTGTCTGTGTGCTGCTCACCCTCAAGCCTTCTTGCCGGTAACTCTGGGAGATGCAGTCCAGGACTCCGTTGTATTTGTTCACATAGACGCCATCAGCTTGCAGTCTGCTTTTCACCACATCCATGGGGGTGGCTGTCCCCCAGGAAATCGCCCCTGCAAACTCAGAGCAAACAAGCACGTCAGAGCTGAATGTCTTGGGTCCTCTGAGGCACGGCTCCCTGAGGACATTGTCCTTCAGAAACCCATAAGTGGCTGGGGACGTGGGCTGGGAACGGGACTTCGGTCCTCTGCCTCCACCCACTGTGGGACCTAGCAGAAGTGTCCTGCGCCTGCTCTGTGCACGGGGGCTCAAGGACTGTGTTTTATGAGGCAGCTGTGAGGACAGGGTGAACTAATGCCTGTGGGAGCCTGGGGCGGGGGGTGAGACCAGGCCACAGTGAGGCCCCACACACAGCAACCTTTATCAGGGGGCAGCATCTCCCTCACAGGCCTCTACAGTCCTCCCTAAGCACAGAGAAAGCCCAGGGTGAGACCCAAAAGCTTGCAGCTACCCACAGGCGGGCTTTAACAAAGCCGGTCACAGACGGCTGGCTGAGAAGGACCAGCCTGGGAACTGCAGGGCAGGGTCAGGCATAGTCTTGTTTCTGTATAAAAACTTGCCTAAATCTGTGGGGATCACATGTAGGGGTTATCCTCGCTAGGTGAGCTCAAAAGTTCCTGTTTAAGCGTTAGCGTGACCTTAACAGATTAGGGAAACGGTGGGGGGTTTTCGTTTCCTTTTGTTTCATTAATATAGAAATTGGCACATTCTTGGCCAGGGTGGGATGATACCCAATGTCAAAGCCCGGGACAGCAGGCTTGCTGGGTTTGGTAAAACTGTTGCCCAGCAGCTCTCCATAGAGACACCCTGAACCCTCTGCCCGTGAAGGCCCGCCATGGCCTGTGGAAGCGTATCTCGATGGTCACTCTCTCCTGCCCTTGCCAGGGCCACTAGCTGCTTCCCTTCGTGCGTCTAGGGTGCTCATCCCTGTCACAGTGAGGATGTCAGGAGACAAGGTCAGCAAGGTCAGCAGGCCCTGGGCACCTGCTCTCCACACAAATGAGGACAGATGGGAACTTGAGGGCTCTTCCTTGGAATAGGTCCAGGGATGGGCCTCACACACACACGGGCATGGGCAGGATGCCACTGTTGTATGGTCAGGCATGGGCTTTGAATGTTTGCTATTAGTTAAAAACACGGATAGCTCTGGGGAGGAGACAGAAGGAAAGGGGGGGGGCATAAGAGAAAGATGCCAGGGTAGCCAGTCACATCAAAGCAGGCGTGGCAAACCACTCCACGCATGCCGCCTCTGCCTGTGGACAAACAGTGGCTCTGGTGCCAGGTAGGAGGGGAATGAGTCCGTGGTGACAAATGAGCCAGCCTGGACACACTTGGATCTTTCTGACTGCAGAGCCCCTCCCCGATGTCCTGTCTCAATTGGCTTCATGGCCTTGAGGACCTAGTGCAGAGGGTAGAGACCGGCTCCCCGCTCCAATACCAGCAAAGGTGAACCGCAATAATAGCTTCCCCCAAAGCTCCTCCATGCCTGACACACAGAGCATGCTCAGAGCTCACCCAGTGCCTCAAAGTCCAGTGAATTCACACAGAGACTCACAGCACTGCGAGGAGAGGAAAGACACAGAGGTCAAAGGGCTGTTCCCCTACAAGGCGTGGCACAGAGTGAAAGGAAGGGTCCTGCATTTATAGCTGCATGAATGCTGCCTCCTCAGAGCTGGGAAGGTCGTGGTGGGACCTCTGCCCTCTGCCTTCACTGTTCCAGGCCCGGGACTCAGGGACAGGACTCACACACACTGCTATAGCCCATACCTGCAATGCCACCTGCCAGCCACACAGCGTAGGGGCTGGGCCCTGTGCAGGCCTCAGGCGTGATCCTTTCGCTCAGGAACACATAGGGAATAAAGTAGAGGCAATACCCTGGTGTGTCCCTCAGCAGCATGGCACTGGCTCCCCGGTACAGCCCTGCCAGGCCTTCAGTCCGCACAATGGTTGCAATGCAGTGTATTGGTCCGTGGTATGCCGCCTGTCCCCCGAGGGCCGCTGGCTTGGGCTTCAATCCTCCTGAAAAGACAGGAGGGAGATGGTGGCAAGTGACCAGGCAGGTAAGAGGCTGGCTGGCCCCTGGCACCACAGCCAGTCCGTCCCATTGACAGCCTCCAATCACACAGCTCATTTGTTTTTACCAAGCTATCCGTCACCGTTGGCAGCTAACCCCAGAGTTTTGAGACTCCAACCAGGAGCCCTGGCAACCTGTACACCAGCCTGGAGATACTCCCAGCCAAGTTTCCCTGGGATTCCCAGAGCCTTCTGGTCAACCAACACTGCATTTTTCTAAACAGCTGTAATTGCAGAATGCCCGGGATAATTTAAGACAGCCAAGTCAGACTCACTCTTGATGGGGATTTGGTATTCATCCATATTCTCTTTCTCTCTCCCTCCTTCCCTCCATCCCTCTCTCCCTCCCTCTCTCCCTCCCTCTGTCCCTCTCTGTTTCTCTCTCTCCCTCTCTCCCTGCCTGTCTCTCCCAACACTGTGCGTGTGTGTACACACACACACACACACACACACACACACACAAACACACACACACACGCATGCATGTGAATGCCTTACTCTGTGTGGTGAAATAAATGTGATTTGAAACCAGGCTGCCCCGCATGCCATTCCTCCTCCACTGCTTACAAATGTCAGCATTTTCTACCTTTGTTTTCCACCCTTAAAGGGCTGACAGGCTGCTATCATGGATGTAAATGAGGCCAAGACCTCAGCGATGGGTGGAACAATGTTGGGTGAGATGGCGGGCAGAGACAGGAAGTGAGGTGGCTGGGTGGAAACAGGGGTCAGGGGTATGATGAGTATGGCAAAGGGCATTCTTTTAAGTTGTTATTGTTTTGTTTGGATGGCTTTTTGAGATGGGGTTTCTCTGTGTAGCCCTGGCTGTCCTGGAACTTGCTTTGTAGACCAGGCTGGCCTCGAACTCAAAAGATCTGCCTGCTTCTGTCTCCCAAGTGCCGGGGTCAAACATGTGTGCCACCGCTGCCCAGCCATGTCACTTCCTGTCTGTACAGACATCCAGACCTCTATGGTTAGTTAGTGGCAAGCTCCATCCTCTGATCTTCAGACAAGCTTTATTTGTACAAGCAAGATGTCACCACAGTTGGGTCCAATGAGTTAGCAAATGGTGGTCAGTGAGAGGACCCACTGGCTGGCTAGAGGATGGGCATATCTGGCTCATGCCACCCCTGGCCTGGCTGTACCCTAAAACAGCTGTAAGGCAACATCAATGGACCCTCAAAGTCCAGGGGCCCAGTACTCTGTTTCCTTTCGTAGCGGGGCTGAGATCTTAACAAGTGACTCTATCACAGAAGTATCATTCAGGCCATGAAACTTAGCAACAGGTGGGCAGCACCACCTGCTAAAGTGAAGACAGAGACCTAGCCCATAAAAGTCTCTAGGAGTGCTTGCTTGCTTTTTGGCCTCTGCAATTCCACTTCTGGCCATCTGTTCTTGTTACCCCAGATCATGGCTTTTGTGCTTAAAAGCTCACCCTGGGAAAGCCTCAGGGCTACACAGGGACCATGAACACCCAGTGTCCTCACCAAGTGGCTAATAAAGACCTTCTATTGGCTTGAACCCATATTCAAGCAGTCTTCTTTGGTGGATCCCCCACAACACGTCCAGGCTCTGAGGGTTACGCTGGCTGGCTGTGGTTGATCTCTCCGTAGGGTCTCTGGGGGTACACAGAGCAGCAAAGCCTTGGTCTCTCTCCCAGCCAGTCCTCCCACAGGCTATCCACCACCCTCCTTTATACTCTGTTGTGGCTCATGGTCAGAAAGACCTGTGAATACCGATAGTGACTTGGTGTCCCTTCTGAAGGCCCCGCTAACATGATGGGGCCAGGATGAAGCACAAAAGCCATCCGTGACCTCAACACTTTGGGCCAGAGTTCCATCTGCTGACCCCAGCTCCTGTTTGGTTTCACACACCAGGACGTACATACGTGCTGCAAACAGGAAGTGGCTTTGGAAGCCAACTCCGAGTCCCCACACATTCTGATGAACACTCACCCTCGTGGCTGGGCAGTTCAAAGTAGAAATGAAAGGACATGCATTTTAACTCATCCCAGATTTCCACAAGAGCAGGCGGAGGCAGCACTTCCCTGAGACACATGCCCGAGGGAACTCCCGCCTGTGCGCATTCCCACCTGAGCTGGGGAAGGAAGGTGAGGGCATAAAGGCTACCTCGGGGTCGCTCTGAGCAAGAGCAGACATGGCGGCCCTTGAGAGGCCCCAAGAGATTACTAAACATTCTTTCCCAAAACTGTGACCATACTGCCAGTGGTTGCCTAGGAAATTTGCCTTACACCAAATTCCTGGCTGTGTAAACGTTGGCTGGGCAGGCCCTCTCTAGCAAAAGCTGGCCTGATCCAGAAGTCAAGGCTTCCCTAGACCAGTGCCTACAGCATGGCGCTCAGGAGTTACTGATTGAAAGTGGGTCATGTCTGGATAATGATCTGCTAGTTGAGCAGTGCAGATGTTGAAAGAACACTGGCCACACTGCCAACCAGCCCCATCAATAAAGCCCTGTTGTTTCTTTTACCATTATATCTTTAGAGTAAACAGTAAGATTCCCTCACATTCCCCGAAGTCTGCAAAATAAGCAATCTAGCTTTTGCTGATTTGTAATGACTAGTCTATGGCTATTAAACCCACACAATAATAGCCGGTGAGATATGAACTAGGCTATAATAGATGTTAAAACAACCATCCAGATGCTGACACAGCTCCACACCAACCCAAACTCATACTGTTAAGACTTGTCAACTTAGCAGTTCTATAACAAAATACCCGCAGTAACTTCTTCTGAAGAGAAAATGTTTCTTTTGGCTCACAGTTTGGTGTGTGTGTGGGGGGGGGGGGGGAAGGGTGGTTCTTTCTATGATATATTAGCCTCATTGTTTGGGGCTCCAGCAAGGCAGCACATCATGGTTACATAAGAGATTTTATACAAGTGTGTAATTACTTTGAGCATACCTGACCACGCCCTTCTCACCTCTCTAACCCCAATGTTCCTCACTCAGTCTTACTCCTTTCATGCCATAAGTACATATATGATTCTGCGCCTATATAAAACATGAGAGCCAAAAGTGAGAGAAAACATGCAAATTTTTTTTGGGGGGGATTTTTTCTGAAACTAACTTAATTTGCTTAATAGATTGTATCCAGTCAATTCAGTTTTCCTGGAAATAACGGAGCTTCGTTCTGCATGGCTGAAACAATTCTCCTGTGTGTGCAAGCACATCTGGTTAGTGCACTCTGCTGTTGACACCTGGCCTGGTTCTACAGCTCAGATACAAGAGCCGCAGTAAAACACTGACTGGTGTGCAAGCATCTCTGGAATGTGCTGCTTTGCAGCACCACAGGTAGTTCTAGTTTTTGAGGAACATCCATGATTTCCACAGTGGCTAGACCAATTCCCATTCCTATCAAGAGGACCTCCCTACCTCTACCTCTTCTCCAGCATTTGTAACTTCTTTCTTTTTTCATTTGTTTTGTGCTTCAAAGTTTTCAAGATAGGTTTTCTCTGCATAGCCCTGGCTGTCCTGGAACTCGCTCTGTAGACCAGGCTGGTCTCAACCTTGGAGATCCATCTACCTCTTCCTCCAAGTGCTGGGATTAAAGGTGTGCACCACCACTGCCCAGATGCATTAATGATTTCTATTCTGACTGAAGTGAGATGGAATGTCAAGGTTTTTTTAACTGATTTTTCTGATGATCAGTGATGCTGAATATTGTTTCATATGTTTACTGGCCATGCATTTCATTAGACCATTTATTGATTGAGCTGTTTGACTTGTTAGTTATTCAAGCTCTTTGTATAATCTAGGCACTATGTAAGATATCTAGTCATCTAAGTTCCTTTCCCTTTCTGTGAGCTGGCTCTTCACTCAGCCGCTCCCTTTGCTGTGCTGAAGCTTTTCAGTTTCACAAAACCCCACCCGACAATTGTCAGCATTATTGCCCGAGAGACTGGAGTCCCATTCAGACAGTCTTGGACAGGCCGTGGACATGACTCAGAGGCTGAGGCTGACTACCAAACCTGATGGTCCGAGTTGGATCTCCTAGGACCCACAGAAGGAGAAAAGCAAGTTGTCCTGTGATATCCACTAAATAGATAGAATTTAAAAATCATAAAGTCCTTTCCCATGCTGATATCTTAAAGTGTTTCCTCTTAGTCTTCCTCCAATGCACTCTGGGGCTCAGATCTTACATTAACGTATTTAATCCCTTTCACTATATCACACAAGCTGAGAAATGAGGGTCTAGTTTGTTGCTCTAATGTCACTATCCAGTTTTTCCAGCAACATTTGTTGGAAAAAAAAATCCATTTTTTTCTCCAATATATATTTTTGGCTTTTCTAAAATCAACTGCCTATAGTTGTGAGCGTCTCCGTCTGGGTCCTGCATCCTGTTCTTCTCTGTTGTGTTCTGCTCTACTCTATCCCATTCTATGGTCTACATTCATGTTTGTTTTTCTATAGTTCCCCTTCTCACTCTGCAGTAGCATGGGCGAGGGATGGAACTTCTGCTACAGGTCCCCCTGGTCTCGGTTAACTCAGCCCAAGCACACACTTAGAGCCCAAGACTTCAGACAGGACTGACGCCCTAGGCTTCCTACCCACAGTGCACCTGGCCCTTAGTCCCACTGCCTCAACAGCGGCTCTCCCTGGCTACACAACTTTGTTTTATGAACTATCTCAGGGCGGGCCGCATGCACGGGAATGTCTAACCCTAAATACTGCTGAACAAATGTCCTAAGGTTTGAGATGTCATCTTGCTAACCTTAGTGATCGGGTTCAAACTCTACACTGATTAGGCCTTTATCTAATCTGCGATCTATAGTGAAGCTGTCATTTGACCTCCTGACACCCTTTACAGCATTTTCCTCCTCCAGGAAGGAATCTAGTCTTTTCTTTCCATCTATGACATGCCCATAGCCTTGAGCTGTGTTTTTTGGTTTTGTTTTGTTTTTTTGTTTGTTTTTTATGACACTGACATGCAGGAGGGAAACAGCCAGTCTCTCCTTGTAGAACATTCTCACTCAGGGCGTGTCTGGGGTTTCCTCTTCCTACACTGAAGTGATCCACTCCCTGTTGCTTCCGTGTTCGCCTTGCCTTTCTCCTGAGCCCCCAGTCTTTGCCTCCTCTTCTTTTTAATCAGTTTGTTTCTAAGTTCACACTTAATAAAAAGCTTAGCTCTTAAGTGCTTGGTTGGTGAGCCCTGTCAAGGACAGACACCTGTATAACCACACCTACCATGAAAACAGTTTCCACACCTGCAGCAAACTCCTGTGGTCACCTTAGCCGGGCTGCTCTCCTGGTACTCAAGGTTAAAGAAGGCCACGATGCCACCAAGACAGCACTCACTGAGAAGCAAACTGCCTCTGGGGCACTGGTTGTTTGGGGTTCACCTCCCAAGTTCAGCGGCACACACAGTTCACGTTGGGACTGCGAGGCATGTCAACAGTTACACATGTTACAGTTCTGGGCCTACATGAAAATACATCACAATACTAACCACGGCTAGGCCAGGGCATGAAGGCCTAACAGGATGAAGACTTTGGACAGCAGCTATGGTAAGAACGAGAGAAAGCAGCTGCTGAGTAGGTTCTGGAATTTTCTTCCAGAAAACAACAGGAGTTCCCCTCAGTTACCATGCAGCACCCTGAGCTAGATGCCTTGGCCCAGAGGCTGTGGTCTGGAGTCCCGGCCACTGGCTGCAGGGAAGCCCTGGGTGGGAGTCCTCCATAACTCTAGCATGGACTAATTGTGGTTGGTGAAGGCTAAAGATGAATAATTCTTGTACACTGATGTGAGGGATAACAGGAAAGTGGTTCTTGGAAATATGCATGCTTGAATTTCCTAACTTGCAAGCCATTTTCCCAAGGAAACTATGGGAAGTCACAGGATGGAACTGTGCTCAGCTCACTAAACTACTGATGTCCCATCCACACCCTGAACCTTCCAGGGTCAGTCCTGGGGTAGGAGCTGGGACACGTAGGTGTAGAATGATAGACATTCAACAACAATTTCCTCTAAAGTGAAATGTTTTAATTTCTCTAACTATAATTTTTATTTTATAGTGAGGCTGTACATAAAAATCAACTTTTGATCATTTCTTTCCATGAATGTTTCCTAAGACCACTATCTTCCCTAAATCAAAAGCATGTTACCTTCACTCTAGATCTCAGAAAGCCTATGGTTCCCTTAGTGCCAACTCAAGTGCTTTAGACCGAGATGGACAGGATGTTTGAAATAAAGGAATGGGCCCTTCCCTGAGACTCACTTCACTTGGGGCGGGAGCCCCATGTAGATCTATAGCCCCCCCCCCCCCCGCATCATCGGTTTGGCCCCTGCCACCATCTGTGGCTCCTCTGGAATTGTCAGTGTCCTATTTGCTGGCCTCATCTCCAAAAGGTTACTCCCTCCGCAGGGTGCTTTTTTTTTGGGGGGGGGGGGTTGAGGAAGTAGAGGTATGGATTTGATACCACTACTTTCTGAGTATGTTCCTTATCCTTTGTGCTGGTTAGGTTTTTGTTTTGTTTTTTATTGTTGTCAAATTGGTACAGGTTGGGGTCATCTGGGAAGAGAGATTCTCAACTGACTCTGTCATATTGCCCCATAGAAAAGTCTGGGGACATTTTCTTGATTGGCAACTGATTTGGAAAGGGCCTAACCCACGGTGAGTGAAGCCATACCTGGGCAGGTGGTTACTAGGTTGTCAAAAAAAAAAAAAAAAAAATCAAGCTGAGCAAGCTGTGGAGATTACACTGGCTGACCTTATGTCAGCTTGACACAGAAACTAGAGTTATCTGAAAGGAGGAAGCCTTAAAAATGAGGCAATGCCCCCACAAAACCTAGCTATAAGACGTTTTCTTAATTAGTGATTGATGTAGGGAAGCCCAGCCCATTGTGGGTGGAGCCATCCCTGGGTTGGTTTTTCCTGGGTTCTATAATAAAGCATATTGGGCAAGCATGGGGAGCAAGCCAGTACACAGCACCCTCCATGGCCTCTGCATCAGCTCCTGCCTCCAGCTTCCTGCCCTGACCACCTCCCATGATGAACAGTGATGTGGAGGTGTGAGCCAAATAAACCCTTTCCTCCCCAACTTGCTTTGGTCATGGCGTTCATCATAGCAACGTAGACTCTGATTAAGTCAGACAGTGTTCCTCCATGGTTCTTCAGTTCCTACACACGGGCTCCTATTTTGAGGCTCCTGCCCTGACTTCCCTTCATGGCCAACTGTAAGGTAGAAGATGAAATAAACTCTTTCTCCTCAAGTTGCTTCTGATCAGTGTTTTATCACAGTAACAGACAGTGAACACCTCTGGAAAAGTTAAGCTTCATCATGATGAAACTCTGTCCATCTCCAAACAGATTCTGGGTCTCTGAGCATCAAGGCCCACCCAGGCTCACAAGCTACATGTTCAACAAAGACTGACACTGAACAGGAAAATCTCCCTAAATTCTGTTTCCATAGAAGGTCTAAAGTAACAGACATCCAATAACATAGGGACATTCTCCGGGACAGACAAATGGGCTATGCCCACCTCGGGCTGGGTTTGGGCAGAGCAGGCTGGCAGGGCCCTCAGATCACATGCCCAGGAACTTCTCAGCTAGGATGCTGTTTGCTAGAGACCATTTGTTTCCCCAGGCCCTGGGGGCTCCAAAAGAGTCGGGTGCTGCTGTAGGAAGAACCCTGTGTTATAAGCAGGCCAGCCTGTGTGTTCCAGTTCAGTTGCTATTCACTGTACGGCAATGTACAAGGGACTGAACCTCATTGGCCTTCATTTCCTCATCTATTAAGTGGGGGCAAAGGTGAGCAGCCAGTCCACTTCCTTGGCGTTGTGATTTAGACAACGTCACAAGCAAACACACTTCACTGAAATGCCTGCTGCGAGCGTGCGCTTCACTCTAGGGAAAAGTTACCCCTCCCACAGGCGCTGCCCTGCTCTGATTCCGAAAGGACACACCTGTCTACCTTGTCACCTGCAGTCAAACCTGTGGGAGATCTGGGAACAAGATTGTTCAAGACTGATAGCAAGTCCGGAAATCAAGGCAACACCTCGTCTTGTCCATTGATTAAGAACAAAAACCAAACACCACGATGTTCCCCCATGTAACTTTAACAAAGGCATATTATGTTTAATGTGTGACTAGTGCATAGCCTCCCCACAACCCTCCCTCTTCCTCCCACTTCCAGGCGTCCGGAGCCCTAGCCCTCATCTCCTTTTGGCAACCCAGACCCTCCTAGAGAAGCATAGTCAGGCAGGGAACAAAGCCCTTGGAACATCTCTGGGCTTCGGTGTTCCCAGGGGTCCCTACTTCTCACATAGGTCCCTTAATTGGGAAGGGAATGGAGTTATCATCAGTAATTCCCGCACTTAGGAAACCTTAGAAAGTCTGTTGCTCTTCCCAACATGCCTGGAGAAGAGTGGAGTGTGGGTTGTACATATGTAACATACATGTATGAGGTGTGCAAGTGTAGCATGTGTGTGTGAAGTGTGCATGTGTGGTATACATGTGTGAGGTGTGCAAGTGTAGTGTTGTGTGAAGTGTGCATGTGTGGTATACATGTGTGAGGTATGCAAATGTGGTGTGTGTGTGTGTAAAGTGTGCATGTATAACATACATGTATGAGGTATGCAAGTATGGTGTGTGTGTATGTGTGAGGTGTGCAAGTGGGGTATATATGTGTGTGTGGTGTAAAAGTGTGGTGTGCGTGTGTGTGTGAGGTGTACAAGTGTGGTGTGTGTGTGTGTGTGAAGTGCTTTTATGAGGTATGCATGTGTATGTGTGTGGTGGCTTTCTAGCCACACATCTGTAAGGTGTGATCTAGCCATGCTGTGACCCGACTGGGGGCCTCTGAGGGCCCAGGAGTCTAAAATGCCCAAACTGCTTAGAGCAGTTCTCAACTTTCCTAGCGCTGTGACCCTTTAGTAGAGTTCTTCAAGCTCTGGTGGCCTCCAGCCATAAAATTATTTCATTACTACTGCGTAAACGGAATTTTACTATTGTGATTGTTTATATCAGATATGTGACCCCCACAAAGGAGTCGATCAGCAACTCTGCTATCCTCTTCCACTCAGCATTCCGCACAGCTCATCCACTATTGGCTAGTTCAAAAGCAGAGCTATCTCCTCCAACCCCGGCTATATCCCGCCCCGCCCCGCCCCGCCCCGCCCCACCCCGCCCCGCCCCACCCCGCCCCGCCCCACCCTGCCCCAGCTACAGCATCTTCCCTGTGATGTCACCGAGTCCAGTGGGCCAACAGGGTCCTTCCACTCACCCCCCAAAATCTCCCTGTATTTCCTCCTTTCCCTTCTCTCCTCCATCTCTTCCCCCAAATATTAGCTCCCCTTCTCAAATAAATAAATAAATAAATAAATAAATAAATAAATAAATAAAACACTCCCGTGTCCACACCTCAGTGACCCCTGTGTCTCAGGGTCCTGCTCCTAGATGTCACAGAGTAGCACAGCCGAGCTAATTACCTGTGTCACCTCCAACAGCGGGGGGTGGGGGGGACGGACAATCTGAGTCACACAACCCAAGCTCCTACACCCAGTGCCATAAATTCAGCGGTGTGTTCCACGCTTCCTGCTCCTCTCCAGCCTGACGCCAGCAGCTGCTCTCTCTCACATGCACCTCCTACAGCACAACCCAGCCAAACTTACCCATTTCCAGTCAGGCCCAATAGGGCACCCAGGCCGGCTCATTCACGGCGGTAATAACCCTGAAGGAAAAGCATGTCCCTTCGCTGCAAAGGGCACATCTGAAAGAGCCCAAGCCATTCCCACATGCTTACCAAGGGGCAGGAGCCCCGGGAGACCAGCTCTGGAGAGCTGGCAGAGTCTGGGGCGGGTTAAATGCTGTATGACATGCAATGGCCCTGGGTGCTGACTGGAAGGGAATTCCCTTTCAACTTCAGCAGTTGCCAATGCAAATGACAAGGCACCTCGGCAGCACAGTTTCACTATGTGTATCAAGAATCTTAAAAATGGCCACACCCTTGGGCCCACTCATGAATCAAAGAGCCTGTGCATTGAGGGAAACAACTCTAATGTAGGCACTTCTTCATTTAAAAAAGTTGGCTAATAACTTCACTGTTTGGGGGTGAAGACAGACGCAACCCCAGCTAAATGGGCACCTGTGTGGCAAAGTTACCAGCCACACAGGTGACAGTTATTTTACAACTCCAATGTGCCAGACACTGCTGCAAGCTTCACACCAGACATCCGTTCTGTCCTATCTATGAAGCAACTCACTGGAGGCTTGATGACATCAGGTGACACATCCTAACTTTCTCAGTAACTGGCAGTCCAACTTCAGAAATAGAATTCTTACCATGAGGTACTGGCCCTGTCTGTGTATGTGCGCACACGTGTGTATATGTGCACTTGTGTGTATTCGTGTTTGAGGGAACAGTGCACATCTATTTTAAGTATCACACCTATTTTAAACAAATGCATATGCTATTTGAATGACATAGGAAATGTGTCTGCTTCTGCGGGAAGAACCAGAGGATGTAAAATTATATCTAGCCTGGGTGAATTGAATTCTCTTAAAATCCGTAAGATTAGCAAAAGGAAACACCTCGAGTTCAGTGCTCTGGTCAGCTTTCAGACAAGGGGCAGCGCCAACACACATTCAGGAGGCAGTCACAAGCTCTCCCAAAGAGATGAGCTGGGCCACCTCAGAACCTGTCACATTTCCTAACATGGAGAACACAGCCATCTGGCAATTCAGAATGTGAAGTCCCCTCTCAGACCTCATGATCATTACCCTGGAAGTGGACTGGCAATTTTGAAATAAAACCACAAACCAAGGGAGATCTCACAAATAGCGGTGCCCATACTTCCTGTCAGCAAAACCCTGATTCATTAGGGCCTGACCTGCAGCCGAGACCTGCGGTCACCCCGGGTCTTCACTGTGTTGGTCCACACATGTGACCTGCCGGCGAGACTGCAAGGTTGCGTTCATCGGTGGCCTGGCACACGTCAGGCCGCAGGGCAGCAAGCAAGGCGGGAAGAGTGTGTGGCTGTCCCCTTGGAAGGACACCCTGTGTCCCCACAGCCCCCACTCTCCTGCTGCGTTCAGATACTGGCGCCTCCCGTTTGCCTAGATTTTCAACAGCACAGGGAAGCCCGCAGTGAGGTATGTCCCCAGTGTTTCAATCAGAAGAGGGAGCTGAAGCAGGGGAGGAAGGCTGTGCCTCGACAACATGGGAGTGGACGCACTCCCCAGGACCTCTCTGATGTTGCCTCCTTGGTCTCAATCGCCTGAAATTTCTCTTTCTGGCCTAGAGAGTTCATAAGAAGCAAGCTACTGAAAACCACATCCTTCCTCCTTTTCTAGAGAGAGTCCTAGTGACACTCTGCCTCCCACACCCCTTCTTCACAGTCCCCCTGACATTTGTGGTCACCCGGGGCCTCGACCCAAGCAGCCATGATGAGAGGTGAAAAGTTGGGTGTTCATGGAACAGCCTGACTCATGTGACTCGGGCCCCTTTCAGGGTCCAGGGACTGGGAACTGGGCCCATCTTGAGCAATATTTTGGAGACATACCCCTAGCCTAACTCTCCCCTGAAATCTGAAGCTTTGTATGTGAAGATTATATTCAAAGTTCTGGATGGCCAGGAGTTACCACATCGCTATAACCTTAGCTTCTG